GACCCCCCCCTGGCCTCGGCCAGAGGCACCCTGAGGGCCTCGGCCCACCGCCTCCGGCGTTCTCGAGCACAACACCCGAGTGGAGAGGCCGCCACATCGCAAAAAACTAAATAAAATAAATCCAATAAATTAAAAATTGCTGCTTTTACCCTCCACGGCAAGAGGCAGCACAGGCACAGCTCACACCTGGCCTTGCAAACTACATCTTCCCCCTGAGCGCTGCCACTTCCCACCCTCCTCCGACCACTTCTCCCCAGCGGGCCTAAAAACGGGGCAAATTTTCCCCTTTTTGGGTAAATAGCAGCACAATTGCAGCCAAACGCTCCCAAATTTTACCGTCCTGATGAATTTTTAAGGAGCTCCTCGCACAGGGAGCTTAAGCTGCCACTGAAACATCCGTCTTGCAGCAGCCCCTGCGAGAGACGGGGATAAAGGAGGGGAAAAAAAAAGTCGTTAAAAGTTTGAAGACATTTATTTAAAATACAACTTATAAAACAGTTTTCTTTTCGGCGCACATTTTGGGGTGAAAACACGCGGTACCGTGTTTATCCTCCACCTTCCCGGGACGAAGGGGCTTCCCGCAGGAACGCCGCCGAGCCCTGCCCGCGGGCGGGACGTATCCTGGTCCCCGGGCTGGAGAAGCCGGGAGATTTCGGTGCCGGAAAAGGTGATTTTGGTGATGGAGATTTCAGTGCCGGAGATGGAGATTTCGGTGCCGGAGATGGAGATTTCTGTGTCGGAGACTGAGATTTCGGTACCGGCGGCAGAAGCAACTTTAGCACTGGCCAGCTACACCAGGAATCGGGTGGATTTGGGGGTTTTTTGGCCATTAGAAGCTATTTTTAGTCACAATTAAGGAAAGGCGCGGTGACTACGGTTATTGCTGACGGCTTTCTCCCCTCCCGCTCCCCCCTGGGGACTCATCCTGACCACCAGCCTGGGGTGGGGGGGATAAATACGAGACACTCCCACCCCCCCCAAAAAAGCGCCGGCAGTTGGGGATGCCCGCCCCCACCTCGCCACCATCCTCGGTGCTTCATCAGCTTTAACGAGCCTGATGAGGTGCAAGACGTAAACGACGTCGTCGGCCCCCGCGGCGACGGGGAAGGCCAGGGACGCGGGAGGCCGCTTCCACGTGCTTGGCAGCGGCAGGGAGGGGGGGGGGGAAACGAG